TAACCATCATCTGAGGCCTTCTGCATCTCTTCCTCTATTACAACTGAAAAATTTGTACACTTCAATCCCGAATTAATTTTAACTTTAAAGGATCTCCCATAAGACCCTACATTTGTAAATTCGGGTATGTCAAACGGACTAGCTACCCTTAACAATAATCTCGCTGCAGAGAGGTCTACTTTCTTTCTAGTCTCCTCCATGATACTTACGAACTCCCCCACGTACCTGCAAGTTTCTCCAAGAAGGGTTCAGACCAGCACAGAAAAGGTAATCCGACCAACTCCACCATGCAATACGCCAAAGGAACACCTTCCTCATTCAACAGCGGAGATAACCAATGAAACCATGAAGACAACTTCTCTCGACAATTCGACCATGCCTTTACAAACTCTTCATTAGAGTTGAACATAACAATACAATCATTCCGAACATAACCCCAACTTACAATTTTAACCTCGAATCCCTCATTCTGCATAGCCTCTCTCAGCATTTCGAGCTTAAAGGGATACTTGATAACCCCTGTTAAAGCATTCTTCACCCATTGTGAATCTTCAGTAGGAATGTGCATATATTCCATACATCCCTTAATCCATTTACTTTCTTGTCATGACCTCCCTTCTTTTCCACTAATTCCTGGTCCCTCCTCCCACTGTTATTCACTTCCACTACCTCCTTGAACGATCGGTCATCCCTCAGGCTTCTTGGTTTTTCCATAACCACCTGCCGCTTACCTTTGATCTCTCCAATTGACTTGTTTCCTTCCCTCTGAAATTTTTTCCCATCTAATTCTCTCCTCCTATCCTTCTTATACCTTGCGACCCCCACTGAGACTCTCTTCCCGTCAATCAACGTTCCGTTAACGTTTTGAACTGCTCTTCTTCTACCAGCCTCCAACGCAAATTGCACAAAGGCAAACGTCGATGATTTATAATTCGGTTTAGCTGTAAAACTTGGAATAAAGACCCTCACAACTCTTCCATAATAGTTGAAAATCTCTCTTAACTCACTTCTAGTAACTCTCTTACTAAGATTATCAACAAAAACAGTCCATTCCTCAACGGAGGATGAACGACCTGTCACTCTCTCTTGGAGCAAAATGGCCTACACTGAACCGTTGAAACAGAACTCTTGTCTGCAAGGGAAGGATCTCGTAATTATTAACTAATATAGACTAAATACTATTACATGTATTTCTAGTGAGAATTTGGAATGCTCATAGAAATGATATAGAATGTATTTACATTAAAGGTCAAAAGCTTTGCCTGAGATGTTTTATTCTTCCTCTTTGAATGTAGAAGGCAATGTAAAATCATAAATTTAGTGGTAAACAATATATGCATACACATTGAATGTATTTTTCTTGAAGTATCCATGCTAGGCATCGTCTCAAAGACATGTATATGGGATATGACCTCCAGGTACCCTTCACATACATGGGAAAACTTAGAAAATCTGGCCATACTTGTGTTGAACACATACCTCTATTCAATAGATTGACACTCACACCTGAGTCCAAGTAACATAGGTTAATCTTGTGCGTGAGGGAGAATTTGAAGTATTCTGTTGAAGAAGTGTATTATGGTGTAGAATCCTAAAGTTATGGAAGAGTCTTTACAGTTTCTAGGTGATGGCTTAGTTTTATTGATGTTGCAAGTAAATTTGCAACTAGCAGTTGTGTTCACTGGCCATATTGCTTTAACTCTTCTCTTGAAGCATTCATGTCTGATATATTTTTCAACATTTTTATATATCATATGACCCTCCAAACATTCTCCAAGTACATGAGTCACTTCTTTGAACAGACATTACCCTTATCCAAAGCTTATACCCTAGTTTGAGTAACATAACTCATAGGGACCGTTACTTTTGTCTTGTACTTTTAATTGTAATTCAATTGTTCTCTATCTTCATTCTATAATTTTATTCGTCGTATCTGAGTCACTTCTTTGAACAGACAAATCAAAATCTCAGAGTGGCTCTGATCCTAAGAAGGAACCTGCAATACCTAAAGATGGACCAACGGCAAAAATTGCAGCACAAACATTTACTTTCAGAGAGCTTGCTGCTGCCACGAATAACTTTAGGCCAGAATGTCTGATAGGAGAAGGTGGTTTTGGACGTGTTTACAAGGGCCGGTTGGAGAGTACAGGGCAGGTCTGTAATGGATGCTTGTGAACATTATCTAATTTGATTTTTTCAGATTTTTTCGATTATGGATGTGAAGAAATGAATATGCAGTTTAATCTTTTTCTTGAGCAATTGCTTTCTGTTTGCAGGTAGTTGCTGTCAAACAGCTCGATCGAAATGGTCTTCAGGGAAATCGAGAATTTCTTGTTGAAGTTCTCATGCTTAGCCTCTTACATCACCCCAACCTTGTCAACTTGATCGGTTATTGTGCTGATGGGGACCAACGCCTCCTTGTATACGAATTTATGCCTTTAGGGTCATTGGAGGATCATTTACATGGTAAGTTAGCCTGTCTTTGGTTCGTGGTACTTGCAATTTATGTTACTCAGACTTGATGTGAATATTTGACATGGGTACTTCAAGAAAATCGAAGAGTTGGAGTAACATAGCTTGCATCTATATTTTGGTTTGACTGCAATGTCAGCTTGAAAACTGAATCACATACTTATGATTAACTTTAAAGGTTATCTGAGAGTATACATGGCCGTTTGGTTTTACCAGTTTTTAGGAACTACAATTTTTCGGTTGAGCAAATTATGATAGAAGGTTTGTAGCCTTAATTACCGAGTTGTTTATCAATAAAACAACATTAGGTTGACGGGTATAAATGTACTTCCTTATAGATAGGTCACTTTAACGGGCAATTAAGATTTAAAGGTTTTCTGGACTCGTGATGTAAGGAGAATGGTTCTTATTTCAGCAAATTTTTGTGGAACAAATTTGACATACCATACCTGTATCCCGTACTCAGCCAAGTTCAATTAACATAGGTGATTATTGTGAGAAAAATCATGAATAAAAATGTCTCTAAATAGCTTGACATCAGAATCCTTTCTCGTAATAGTTGGCAATCAATTGGGAATCATCTCGTACTTGAAACCATTGCATTGGCTTTGGTTTTCTACTTGACATCTAATGACATGCACAACTTTTATAGGGCATTTCAATAATACTTGTGTATTTAAGGTTTGCTCCCGACATTAGTTCTATTCACTTTGTCTTGTTTCAGTATGCAGTTTCTAGTTATAGTTAGAGAATTGCACTCCAAAAGACCTCATTGATTACTGTGTATTAAATTTGTTTCTCAGATCTTCCACTGGACAAGGAACCTCTGGATTGGAATACCAGAATGAAGATCGCTGCTGGTGCAGCCAAGGGATTGGAATACTTGCATGATAAAGCTAATCCTCCCGTTATTTACAGAGACTTAAAATCATCCAACATCCTTCTTGGTGAGGGCTATCACCCTAAATTATCTGATTTTGGGCTTGCAAAACTGGGTCCTGTTGGTGACAAAACTCATGTGTCCACACGTGTGATGGGCACTTACGGTTATTGCGCTCCCGAATATGCAATGACCGGCCAGCTCACTCTAAAATCTGATGTCTATAGTTTTGGGGTGGTCTTGCTCGAGCTTATTACAGGGTGCAAGGCCATTGACGAAACACGTTCTCATGGAGAGCATAATCTTGTTGCATGGGTGAGTATCTTTTTTCTTTTACCCATCCATGATTCAGAAACGTAAGAGATTTCTTCAAAAGTTTATGCTTATGCGGAATGATTGTTACATTTTATTTGTTAATACTTCGATTTAATCGAGTTCGGTGTACCTCTTTTCGAACTTGCAAACATGGGGTTTTGTAGGTACGGCCACTTTTCAGAGATCGTAGGAAGTTCCCTAAGGGCTGATCCACTACTGCAAGGTCGTTATCCAATGCGGGGACTATACCAAGCTCTTGCTGTGGCGGCAATGTGTTTGCAGGAACAAGCTGCTACGAGGCCTCTAATAGGTGATGTTGTGACAGCACTTACTTATTTAGCCTCACAAACCTACGTCTCTAATGCGTCCGGAAATCAAAGCAACGGAGTTGGTCCATCAACTTTGAGGCTCAAGGATGACCGAAGAAGTATGACAGATGGATTGGACAGCCCTGATGAGCGCGGACATGGTTCCCCTTCCACCCATAGAAATTCACCCGATTACCGGACAAGGAACCATGCTAGGAAATTGAGCTGGGGCTGAGCTTGGTAGAAATGAAACTGGTGGCGGATCAGAGAGGAAGTGGGGTTTTGATGATTCAGAACGAGACGAATCTCATCGAGGCAGCCCTCTGAATAGTACAAGAACAGGAGAAACTCCACGTAATCGCGTTCTTGATCGCGAACGTGCTGTTGCGGAGGCTAAAGTATGGGGTAAGAATTTGAGGGAGAAAAAACGAGGCAATGGCATAGGTAGCTTTGACGGCACGAACGAGTGATACTTGCATGTCCCTATTTTGTCATTTCAGTCTTTCGAGCAAAGACATGGGAGATCATTGTAAGAGAGGTTTGACATAAGCGCATTTTAATAGGTAAATGTTAATAATCTTCACTTTCATCATTTTTACCCAGAGATTGATATTATTAGAGTAAATGGTGGGAAGAGGGTCCCATTTTTTGCATCATAAATGTCATTGTTGTTCAGAAATCATGTGTATGGAATTTCAGAGTTTTCCCTTTTATAACCCGTATCATAAATGCATAAATCAAGCGATCTCAGTGGTTAAGAGACTTGTTATTATTCTTTGAGGTCTCAAGTTCGAGTAATGATCATCGTAAAAAAAATTGAGTCTTTAAACAAATATTTGAATTACAAAAAATGATAGAATGTATAATTTTGAGATTAAAATTATTATCATATATATCACATCATTATTTAATGTGACTAAAACGGAATTGATTTAAAAAAATAGTTGAATGATCAAAACGAAATTGAAATGATAGTTGGATGACTAAATGCGTAGTTTGCCCTATAATTAAATGGTAGTTTGGTGATGCGAGCAGCTTACAGAGGGAAAAGGGTAACTGAAAAAACAGAAAACGGGTAAAGAAATGTATATTTGAACACTAATTTTCCCCCTTGTCTTTTTGTTTCAAAGTAATTTCCACTTCCATTTAGAAATTCAAACTATACATATCCTTTGATTTCTCCAAACGCCGTCGTTCTAGCCAACCGGAGCCGTACGGTTCCCCCACGGAGAACCCAGGCTTCTATCTTAATCGGAGCTCCACGATCCCCCTTCTTACCAGGTCCGCTTCTTTGATTTTCCATTTCCTTTTTGGCGAGTTATAACTCCTAACAATTCTCCTTGTTCACAGATCATGGAGCAAAAGACGATTTTTTTGATGATTTAACGTCTTTAATTGCATCTTCTTGTGGTAGAGGTGCTGATTAGATTCATCTCTTATTTCTGAAATTTTCTTTTAAATATTAGCTCTTCCTATTGTAACAACAGTGAAGTATCCCTAATTTTTGCAATTAAATTTTAAAACCGGCTAAAATTTATTCGTTTGTAGCTTATGAGAATTTAAAAAGAAAATTGTTCATTGAGGATTTGTTTTTGTTTTCTGTAGAATTGCAGGTGAAGAACAATGATAAAATCGCCGTCTACAATCGTACACTTGCCACTATTTTAGTAGAATATGCATCGGCGGTAAAGTTGTTTAATATTACCTTTTTACTTTTGATGAACTTGAGCTTCAAATTGATAGCAATTATCTAAGAAATTTTGGTTTCGTTCTCTGGTTGTTGCTGCCATCAGTTTATGTATTCTTCTGTGTGTACACGCGTGCGCCATGTAGCCAACAAAATGAGATAGAAGTCCCACGATTAATGTAGATGACCTGTATCGTTTGTTCTAGAATTCCTTGATAGAAGTCCTAAGGTTGATTTAAATGACCCCATCTTATTATTCTAGAGTTCCAATAAAATGAATTTGCAAAAAAAAAAATAAAAAATAGTTCCAATAAAATGAGTTAGTAGTCCTAAGATCGATGTAAATGATCCCATCTCGTTTGTTCTGGAATTCTGATAAAATGAGAGAAGTCATGAAATCGGTGTAAATGATGCCATCTCGTTTGTTCTATAATAGACTAATCAATCAATTGAATGTTCTTGCTTAATATATTACATAGAGTTGATGTGTGCTTCACTCGTATTTCTTTTCTTATCTTTGATATGGTAGCTCAAGCAAATTTTCTCCCCATAGGTTTATGCATCAGATTTAACAGAACTATTTACGTGGACGTGTGAAAGATGTGATGGTTTGACTAAGGTACTTGATTTTATATATTTTTATTTAATATTCATTATTTAAGTAGGTTTGCACTCCAATCGGTCATCCTAATGCTCCTTTGTTGAAAAAGGGATTTGAAGTTGTTGAGCTTGTCGTTGATGTTCAGAATTGTTTACAGGTGCATTTCTCATTGTTCATTATGTTGCTCCAGCTCTGTTTTTCCTAAAGCTCCTGTGTCCGGAACATATTTGGAGAAAATATATGAAGAAAACTAGAGAAAATTGGGCATACTCGATACACCCACTAGTAACATAGACTAGTATCTGGATGAAGTTTGTGTTGTACATAATACTTTTTTTTTGTAACTGACGTGAAAATGACTATCAATTGATAGGGATTTGTTGGAGTGGCAAAGGATATTAATGCCATTATTATTGCCTTTAGAGGAACACAGGATAACAGGTACTATATTATTTGCCTTTTATAATTTCTGTTCAGCGTTGTTCTCTAAAAGAGTTGTCCATTGGCATCTAATGATAACCGATAAAAAAGATTTAAAGTTCCTCAAACTAATATATTATTTTTCTTACAAATTGATAAGGTTTTTGTTCCTTTGATTTGATTGATTCATCTGTCTGTTTGCAGCATACAGAATTGGGTTAAAGACTTATTCTGGAAACAACTTGATTTGAATTACCCTGGAATGCCTAATGCTATGGTATGTAAAACAAACGTATCCCAATTTGTGAATTTATGCCAGTGGTAGTTGTTAATATTTAGTCTTTTCCGGCTGTTTCAGGTGCACCACGGATTTTATACCGCTTATCACAATACAACCATACGAGCTGGAATTCTATATGCTGTTAAAAAAGCACAAGAGTTTTACGGGGACCTCGACATCATGATTACTGGCCATTCAATGGGAGGGGCTATAGCTTCCTTCTGTGCACTTGACCTAACGGTAATCTTGACGGTTGAACCCTTTCCGATTCATCTAGCCATATGTTATTTTGTCGTACTTATCTTTTGAGTTAATTTTCCTTGGTTAAATTATGGTCAACATGAATACTTCTTGATTGCTACCTGAGTTTGAATTATATACCATGTTTTCTCCAAATCTTGAGTTAATTTTCTTTGGTTAAATTCTGGAAGCTTATCCGGTTGCTCTGTCGGAGAAAATAATCTTGTATTTCCAGGTTAATCATGAAGCCAAGAATATTCAAGTTATAACATTTGGACAACCTCGTATTGGGAATGCTGCCTTTGCTTCTTATGGAAAACTTGTGCCGAACACAATCAGAGTCACGAATGAACATGACATCGTACCTCATCTGCCACCATATTATACTTATTTCCCTCAGAAGACGTACCATCACTTTCCTACAGAAGTAAGTTAACAGTGTTTGTTAAAACCAAAAAAAAAATTTCTATGGCCTTTTGTATTAGCGTTGACCGAGCAACTAAAATTGGCAATATTACTGGAAATTTAAGGCCGGGATTTTGCTAATTTGGTTGTTATCAGTATTTGAATATTGAAAATTTTAAGGGTAAAGTACACAAATGGTCCCTCGATTATAGGGTATTTCTTTGTTAAGTCTCTTGACTATTAAAAGTTACAAATTAGTATCACAACTATAGGGTGTTGCATTTTTTAGTCCCCCAACTATTAAAAGTTACAAAATGGTCACCCGACTACTGATATGTTCCAAACTCGTCCTTTTTGATTAAAAAAATTGACAACAACCTAATCTGGACATTAACCTACTAATTGAGATATGATAAAATATGATACCAAAATCTCAAACGACCATACAACTCAAACAATTCTAGGATCAAATTTTATTATATCTCAGTCAGCATGTTAACGTCTAGCTCAAACGATAGTCAGTTTTTTAATATAAAATGACAAGTTTAGAACATATGAATAGTTGGGTGACCATTTTGTAACTTTTAATAGTTGAGGAACTTAACAAAGCAACGCTAGGGATCATTTTGTAACAAGTGATGGACATGAGTACTTTAGGGCAAATGAAGAGTTTGTGTAACATAGATTATAAAGTGGTGAATAGAGGACTGATGCTTGATGAGTGTAATACAGCCTGAGTACAAAAGAACGGCATGGATAAGCTTGTTACGCTGCATCTCTTATTTGTAGGTTGGCTGTATAATATTGGACTGGGAAGTGTGGTTTATCAATTTGAGAAGGTCTGCGATGGTTCCGGTGAGGATCCACAGTGCAGTAGGTAAGCCTCTTCTCTGTATGTAGGTATAGACTTGTGAAGGAAATTTATCGTTAGTTTATACTCCGGCTATTATTTAAGCACCTTTGTGTTCTCATTTATCAATTTCCGGTTTTATGAATATGTAAGATGAAGACATCTTTAATCTTTTATGCATGTGTTCCTTTTCTACATAGAAAAAAGGGAGAAATAATGGGTTTGGACAGATCATGTGTTTGCCAAATGAGAACCGGGAATGAGTGATGATTAACTTGGACTTGTTACTTCAGAAATCTGTCATGAACTCCTCTCCTTTCACATTCTATTGCAGGTCAGTGTCCGGGAGCAGCATCACTGACCATCTGAACTATTATGGGGTTGATTTAACGTTCATACAATGGAGATCCTGCACAATCGTGATGGATCCGCGTGTTGCGGAGTATGCAAAAACGGATAACAAAGGAAATATCGTTTTGTCGAGAGATCCAGCTACACTTGTTCCGAAAATGAAGAATCAGTCAAGTGAAAGGGAGGCTACATATAGTGCATAATGTAACAGTTTGTGATTTCTTCCTCATAGGTTTCTACCCCCATATAATCATCTCTTTCATTCTTCAGTTTTTGCCATGCAAAAAACCATTGAAAAAAAAACACACCCGATGATTGTGTGAGTTCGACCTTGTTATCCGAAGGAGAAACTCCGGGCTATAAAACGTGTTCCTGTTTCGGGCTTGGGTTATGATGGAGTTGGTGTAAATAACAATGTGTACATGCTTTGAGATTGATCATAAGTATATCAATAGCAATGCCACCTGAACTTTGTTTCCTCGTTCTTTAAGAACGCATGACAGATATAAAATTTTATGTTAGGGGAGAATTTTTAAAATTTTAAGAAGAGACAAATTTATAAAATTTTAAGGGATGAAAATAAAATATTAATGGATTTTTTTAAAAATATATGATAATTTTACAATCCCACATGTTGAAAGCCTCATATGGTTCAGGGGTAGTATTAGATTATGGAACATTTATAAGTAGGTTGAGAGGCAAGTTTAGTGTCCAACAAGAACGTGAATCCCTCAAAGATCCCGGTTGCTGTTGATCATACAGGTCATAGCCTTTGTATACCCCTGATAACCCACACAAATAGAGGATTGCATAATATCAATGGTCTTCACCTGCTTCTGTCTGTTTGTTGAGCACTCCATTGCGCGTGTTAAAATTCGCACAATTATATATTTTCTCCAACCAACATGAGTAATGTGCCCTAAAGCTTAGGGACCTTTCACGCCATTAGCCAACAAATATTAATATAGTTGTGATTATAGACAAATTTGAAAACTGATTCCTGTGAGACCCACCTCTCAATTGTCCCTGTAATTGAAAACAATGGCAACAATTTCCATGATCCTAAAGAAACCAAATGTCTTTATCTCATGCCTATATCCAGGTATGTGTTGGATGCTGATATTGAACACAACCAATTGCATCCAGCCACATGATCAACAAACCAGATTTCAATTTTTTTTTAATAATCTTGTTAGTGAAGTGGAAATTTCCACTAAACAAGTACATGTTGGGGACAGTTAAGAAACCTTTGGGACAAAGACAAGAGGCTGTCCAAGTCTGTTGCTGTCAAACAACACCATTGTCAATGGCATTTGCTGGCAGCAACTTTCCAGGTTCTGCCTCGGTCCATCATTTTCTCATTGAACAAGAGCATGGACCACCTTGTCACGGTCATACCGTTCTTCATTATCTGCAATGAGTCAACAACATTTCTTGAAAGCTAATAGTCAAATCTTATATTCCTTATCTAAACGACTATTCAGAGCGAATGATATGATATTCATAAATTGAAAGAACGCATGCTCAAGCAGAAGGCAAGCAATGGTAATTGAAAGGTATTTACTTTATTTCTATGCATATATAAACAGAGGCCAGTTTTGAAAGTGTAATTCACAAGACTAGAATGAACAATTGAAGAGATGCTTTTCTAGGTTTTCAAAATGGATCCTAATCTCATCTATGGTTAAATACACCTTTGCCAAGCAAAAAATTGAACCCTGCAGTGTCTATACAACATGAACACTTTCATTTGCAGGCTGCAAAGGTCCCAGCAGTTAGTCTGCAATTGATCAACCTAATAGAAGGTTAGTAAATAAAGGGAAAAAATAAGGAAAAACATCAAAACTTTGTTAGTAGACTACCTGAGTTGCTTGAAAAAGCACCATGCTCAGGAACATATTTGCTTCGGGTCAATCCAACAGAATCAGCCTGAGGCCTAGGAATATTATCAACAGAATGTGAATTTGAAAAGTCATTGGACAGCAGGTACCTCTCAGATTTACTTGAGCATAATTCTGAAATTTGAGCAAGATCTTGATTGGATATCTGCTGAGAAGACTCTTGCTTCTGAGTAAGCAGATTATCCACCTGAGATGAATCCCGTAACGCCATCGTGCTTTGCTGTGACACTTGTCGATTAGCCTTGTCACTGCAAAGTTCTTTGGTTGTAGTAATAAAGTACCGATGACTAAGCGCTAACCGAAGACGAATATTTCTTTGAGAATAATACATTTTGGTAAGAGGCCCAGGCAAATCTGATATAATGGCAGAAAGAAAACTCATTGTTAAGAACAGGATTCAGAAATTATGGACAAATGAAAGCAGCAAGACTTACTTTTTGTCAGTTGACAGTTTTCAAGGGCTTCCGTAGGGATTTCACTTTCTGAAACCGCTCCTATTGGAAACTCCTTAGCATATGTGCATGATATATATTAATGCATGAGAAGCAAAAAGCAATAATTTGGTAACCGGATAGTCTTTCTGTGAGGTATATATCTGTGCTCCAAAATTTTGATTGAGAGCTGTCCCAAGACCCTCATACACAAAATTGGAAACTCTTGTTGTGAACCAAAGCTTTTATGAATTAGATGGCTCGGAAAAGTCAGGAAATAGAATGACAACTAATTCGACGTGGCCTTACATGTATATGGGTCATGAGAATTTAGAATCTTTTTCATGCCAGAAGCCGTTTTTGGATCATCCGGAAAGGGAAGGCGGTCAACAGCTACCCTACAGAAGTTGCAACAAAAAAAATGGCATCTTCCACTAGAAAACAAAGACATACGGAAAGAATAGCAATAGCTTGAACAACAATAGCAACCCTACGTTATAAGAAGCCCGGCAAAAAGCCTAACACAATATCACAAATATACATTTTACTAGATCTATCATCCCCAGGCTTGGAGACTAGTGCAAAAGAAATGTATTAACATAATGTCATATGCTCGGCCACTTAAAATCATTCTCAAACATTTGCTTTCACAAGCTTTATGTTTGAGCTAAAGAAAAAGAATACACCAATTCTCATCCCAAAGAAAAGGAACAAAAACAGATAAACATGTTTCTGAAAATCATGACGAGAAAGAAAATAGCAAGCATACTAAGGTGCAATTTGTGTTTGAGAAAAGACAGTTTTGTCATGCTAAACCATAAAAAGATATCTTTAGATAAATGTACTATTATTTGAAAAGGAAAAACAAGTGAAATACAATTTAAAGTGTTTTGCAGAAGATGGCACAACAGAGGTTGATTGATCGGTATTCTGGGGTCTAATTCCTGAGCCATCCATCAGATATCCCCTATCTGTACAAGCGGACTTCCCTACAGGAAAAGGGAAATGATGCATCAAGCTGAAATAATGAGGCATTTGCTGCGATGATAGAACTGAAATGTAATAAGTAAATAAAGACACATTTCAAAGTAGACATATTACATCATAAAATCATACCATTAAAATGGTGGGAAATGCAAGTGAAATCAACATTATCAACTTACGTTTTGCATGCACAGTTAAAGTTGAAGACATTCCAATTTGCCCATCCATGAGGGATTCAGATGCTGTAGTCTCATCATCAGCATCAATAATTTCAGATCTTTCCTGGTCCCCAACTAGCGTAGGTTGGTCTAAGAGATGTTAAGAACTATGAAATGAATCAACAAGGAAATATAAGTTTCCTGTAATGAAACTGAAAAGGTAAGACACTTCTTTGACATAAAACACAAGACAACAAAAAAATGAATTTTCATTAAAGATAAAAAAAATCTTACTCTTTTTTGTACTTTTGATATTCCTTTTTTTCATGTACTAAGTACTAACAATAATATTGTAACAAAATGAACCAAAGGAGATTGAAACTTAAAAGTGAATCCAACAAAATTAAAATTGGATACTAGCATAAGCAGCTAGTGACTTCTTCCTTTCCTTCCTTGGAGGTTTCCTATGGCCTGTACTACCATCAAGCTCCAAAATAATTTCTTTTGTGATTTTTAGCGACCTACAGAGTTCTGGAAAAATCAAACGGAGAAAAAAGAAGCAATTCAGTGAAGCACCACTGACATACGGCTTAAAAATTCATAGTTGTCTCGACTAGAGAAACGATGCCAAAGGTAGACAATAAGATTATGAATCGCTTAATCCTACTTCTTATAGGAAGATCATTGAGAAAATAATACTTAATTGACAACAGAAATTACATTATACATGAATAAATGCAATCAAATAATAGACAAGAGATTCAAATATGTGCAAAAGGCTTTTTAAGCACCCAACTATTTTCAAGTTGATCATAATGATAAAAATTGAGAAAGATCAATTACAAAAGTAAAATGCCTCCAAACCTGCATGAGCAGCATATTGACTGGCCTTGACCGGCTTCTTACAAGCATTACACATACCTTCACAAGTATACTAAACAATTAGGCGACAAAACAAAAATCTGGTAAATAAGAATGTAAGAAGCAAACTCTTTACATGAAAGAGAACTACATGATATCAAAGAGAACTGCAATGACAACACTCAGATACACTCACCAAATTTAAAGGATCAGTCATGGGCTTCAAACCAAAGACATGCATATCTGTGAAAGCAACATGCCATCTTACACAACATATAACCCATATAATTTGGTGTAAGAGAACATTATTAAATTGAAAGTGCAATAAATAAACATTAGTTTGAACATAAGCATCACCTTCTTCATCAAGTAAATTGCCTCATCTGCCCACGTAATTCTGTAATGTATTGAGCAGCTAATTTTTGATTGACAACATCCTCTGCCAACAGTCAAGAAAATATCATACCATGTTGTTTGACAAATTGGGCCACATCATCCAAATCGTTCGAAACAACAACACCCTATTCCCATATGCAATGGGGTAAGGGGGAGGTAGGGTAGTAGTAGCTGCCCCCAACGCCAGGTTGAGAGCAGCTTCCGTGGAAGACCTCCGACAGTCAGAAAATTAAAAGATAAAATGCATGCATATAAATAAAATAAATAGTTGAAACAGCCTTCATATGCAGTACATATGCGCTTCTGTAGG